TAATCAACTACATTGTATATTGACAAAATAAAAATAATTAAAAAAATAAAATAAAAATAAATAAAGTGTTGCCAGATTAGGCAGACAGGAAGATTCTGTGGCCAAAGTCTGGGTATGCGGGCCCTCCCTCAAGACCCAAGCTATACTATGGAGTTAAGAGTCAACCAAAAGAAACCTCAAAGAAAATGCTGGACCCTTCTCTTAAAAAAATATTTTTCAGTACATGTGATGTGTTTCCTTGGTTCCAGCACTGTAAGGGGAATTTTGGAAGAACTACAGCCTGGGGACATCTTTTTGTTGATATGAGGGCTATTTGGTAATGACCGTAATCATTTTATCCATCTCCATAAATAAATGCTCTCATAATTTTTCCTTGAAAAAATACAGAGCAAAAACCTTTTTTTTCCTGTAGACCTTTATTCCTTTGAGTCAGGGAGCTTGTTAAAAGCTCAGATTCATAGGCTGCAGTCCAACCCCAAGAACTCAAACCTCTGGGGGTGAGGCCAGGAATCCCCATTTGAAAAGGGCACCTTTAGTGCTTCTAAAGCAGGTGATGCTCTGGGCTCAGAGTCATGCAGCTGGCGTTCAGTCCACAGAGGGCCAGGGGACAGGGTGGCAACACCCAGGTCCTCCTTTATTGAAGGGCTCCATGCTGCACTCTGTCCTGAGGGTCACTTCTTCTCTGCTCTTTCTTTCCCTAAGAAAACATTCTGTGCAACTAGCTTTCATTTGTATAAGACATGGGGAGGTGAGCAGATGGGAAATGGAAATGGTAAGGGTTCCATTACCTCCAGTCTGGCTTCCAGACTGAGATTGACGGCAGCCTGTCCATCCAGGTATTCTGGTAGAGAACTGGATGGCCAGAGGCATATGGGCCAGGACAGCTGCCTGGTTGGTAGTGATTAAGGGGCCAAAGCAAGACAGTCCTTCCATACCCGAGTGATTAAGTCAACACGCAGTGCATCAGAGAGAGGAGCCAGACAGGGCCCCAAGTCAGCAAGCCAGACTTAAGTTGGAGCATCTTCACATATTTAGAAACAAATTTTGTTAATCAGGAGGGATAATCAGGCACCGAAGCACAGGAAAGAAGTCTGATGCCATTAAACGTTTGAATAATAAAAAATAGTTTCCAGCCCCACCCAGATTCTAGGTTATGTCTCCATCTATGATATGTACTACCGAAATGAAATATACTGCAAGCCACAAATGTGAGCCACATAGGTAAGCTTAAGTTTTCTGGTATCCATATTTTAAGAAGTAAAAAGAAGCAGGTGAACTTCATTTATTGAACTCAATATATCTAAAATATCAAATATTATTTCAATATATAATCAATATAAAGATTTCCAATGCATATTTTACCTTTTTTGTCTTATATCTTTGAAATCTGGTGTGTATTTTACATTTATAGCCCATCCTAATCTGGACTAGCAACATTTCAAGTGCTCAGTGGTCATCTATCATTAGTGGCTACTGTGTTGGACATACAAGTCTAAGAATCTGGCTTCTTGTGTAGTTTTTCTACATAGGCAGAGAATTTTCTGGGAAGTCTGCTATGAGTATATAGCACTTTGAAAGTTATACCTAGTTGTTATTGTAAAAGAATAAATTGTCCTTGGTAGAGGGGGTTGTTGTATGTCAGCACCATGTTCAATCAGGTCTGGGATACTCACAGGACCTGGTTGCTCATCTTGTAAGACTGAGAGCTGGAAGTCGGACTGTGGTGGATTCTCAATGGAATTCCTCTCTGTGGGAACATCTGTGGCCAGCTGGCCTTCCTCAGGGGACTGTCCTGCCCTCTCCTACCACTTCTGTCTGCTTTGAGCTCCCAAGTCCTCAAGGCCTTACAGTGCTGTGTGCTCTCAATTCAGCTCATACTTTTGGGTAGACGTTATAGCCTCACATCCAGCCAATTATGAATTACTGTGAGTAAAAATGTCTTCATCATAAATGCTAAGAGTATTGACTAAGTGACTTAAAGAGTTAGACATTTCTAACTTTGGTGCCTGGTCATTTGCGTTTACTTGTTTGAAGTGTGGGGTAACATGAATTACTCCATGTCCCCTTACGTCAACCTAAAACAGTCCCAGAACTTTAAAGTGACTGTTAAGGAGAATGAAAGGAAAGGAAAAGAAGGAAAAAATCAAGCAGATTTTTTTTCTTTCTTGGCAGAGGGCAGGGAGGAAAGATAAAATTCTGCTTGAGTTTTCCCTCTTTTTTCATGCTGTGACCCTCTCCTGTCCAAGTCACCCCTCTGCTGTCTTCTCTCCTGCTCTCATTTCTTGCAGCTCAGCTGTGTCTCTTCCCTGGACTTAGAAACTCTCCCATCCCTGAACTCTGCTGCCATCCCCTTTGCCTCTTCATTTTGCCACGAATACCATTGTCCAACTTTTCCTTCTGCCTCTTTGCCTTTGTGCTGTTCTGCACAAACTTGACTCATCTAAGAATTACCTGGATGCTGGTTAAAAAAATGGATTTCCAGGCCCCAGCCCCAGAGGTTGGTAGGACTGGAGGTGGAGACAGAATATGTATAGTGATAAAACCTACAGTGGGTCTGCTGACCAGGCCAGTGTGGGGGACTGTCCTAATGAGACTGGGTTTTCATGACAGCGTTTTTGAGTAGAGATTGCTCTGTCTGTGCTTCAGTTCACAGAGGGACTACGGGAAAAAGGACCCAACTGCTTCTAGATCATTGTTCCATCATTTTTTTTTTTTTTTTGTCCTTTTTGAGACCAGCCGCACCGCGCTCAGCCAGTGAGTGCACCGTCATCCCTATACAGGATCCGAACCCGCGGCCGGAGCGCTGCTGCGCTGCTGCGCTCCCAGCACCGCACTCTGCGAGTGCGCCATGGGCTCGGCCCGTTCCATCATTTTTTTGGAAGTTCACCATGTCACTACTGCTCACCTGAGTGGACCCTTTGCTCCAGCTGAAGCAGGTTAACTCTGCTCTGTCCCTCCAGAAGCCCTTTCCACTTGCCACCTGTCATAATCCTACCCTTCCTCCAAAGCCCTCTCAATGACACTTCTCTGCGGCCTTTCCTTATCTCACATACTTGTTTCTTCTTCTCCTGCATCTCTCCATGTGGCAATTAATTAATTCCACCTTGTATGATCATCCATTTGTGTATTTGTTTCTCCCACAAGACTGTCCTCCAGGCAGGGAAAGCTCCCCTTCCAGTCTCCTTTGCATCCTCCAGCGTGGGAAGTGCTGAGACTTGCTCAGAGAGCTCATCAATCAACATTGCTTGTCTTAGGCTGAAAGAAAAGAGAAACTCCCTCCCCCACCCCTTCGTCTGCCCAGGCACGCTCTGTGATTCATGACACAAAACTGCAGCGAAGGCGCTTGGAAGAAAAATGAGTGGATGAATCAGAAGTCAAATGGGTAAATACCCTGCACCACACCGCACAGAGTCAATCAGCAGGGATTGCAGCAGAGCCTCGAGATGACTGCTAGCATGGATCTGCATACTGCAGTGACAGAGCTGCGTGATGTGACAGGCAAAGACCCTATTCACATCTGAGGTGGCTCTGTGGAATTTTGTGTTTCATTTGATCACACGTTGGTACAAAATTCGGAACCATTACCAAACACCATCAGTCTTCAGCATTGCCTCCTGATTCTCCATTGTTCTTATTTCCCTCCACCCATATTGGGAGCAGAAAGGAAATTAAGAGATTTTTCAAAACCTCACTAACATAGATTTTGGAGTCTGTTTCATAGTGTCTATGTGACTGCATGTGAAAAAACTCACACACGTGAGCTTTTCTTGCACACCATGGTTGTTCAGCCCCAAGAGTCAGCATGAAGGCACCAGCACGTTCCACACCTGGACTTTCAGGGCTTGTCTGAACTTTCGCTGTCAGCTCCAGAACTAAGTTCTCACTTTCCTTCTCTGTGGGATTACAATTCTTTTAATAAACAGGCAGCCAGATCTCCCCGTTACCTGTCATCCAGGGGAACGGTAATAACAGTCTCTACTCTAGGTACTTTACATCATGTCACGGTGAAAAAAAGTAAGCTTGTTTAGGTAATTGGTAGTAGAAATCGTAGACTCTTTCCTTGCTCAGGAGAAATGTCAGAGCTTGTGCAGTATCTTGGTTCTTTCAGACAACTCATGGCCAGACAGACTTTGGTTTCTGGGAGTAACACCTTTTTGGGCATTTAGATTGCTGCAAGACAACTGCCCTCCAGCTCCCTGGTGTTCCTCTTTCCTCATGGGGGTCCAGCCATGTCCTCTGGCACTACCCCCCCCAACCCCAAGACCTCACTCACCTTTAGGCCAAGGCCCAGCTCCCTCAGTGAGCGCTGGATCTCTCTGGTGAGGATGTTCATGCGTTCACACTCCTGGAAGGCAACAACAACGTAGGGGGTACGCTCCTCCACTTTGGCCATCAGCTCGGGGATGTTAAACTCATCTGTCATCCGCTCTAGTATTTCTTCCAGAAGAGCTTTGACCTGCCCCACAGCAGAAAACCCAGGGTGAAGAAGGGCCCCTAATTCTCCAGAAGTTCTCCATCCTCCTGCAATATGGCACTAGAGATGCCAGTCACCCATCGCTTGCTGCCACTCCACACATACCACCTGGCCACACTCTTGACTGCTTGCTCAGGTCCTCTAGGTCAGGGCTTGAGGACTGAGCACAGGAGGACCTCTCCATAGGCAGGCCAGCACCCTGTGACTTATGTGACCAGCTTAAAAAGATGAGCACAGATACCTAAGAATTGGGGGTTGAAAAACTCCAGGGCTGACCTAGTTAGCTATGGGAATCAAACTAGAAAGCCCTAAGATAGACTTGGGCCTAAGTGGCCCAGAAGTGAAGCTGGAGTAAAGAGTAGCAGTGATGCACACACACACACAGACACCCACAGACACACACGCACACATACAGGCCCACATACACAGACATAGACACACAGAGACACAGACACACACACACAGACACCCACAGACACACACGCACACATACAGACACACATACACAGACACACAGAGACACACACATGCATACATGCAGATATAGACACACACACAGACACACATACACAGACATAGACACACAGAGACACAGACACACACACAGACACACACACACAGACACAGACACACATACACAGACATAGACACACACACACAGACACACATGTGCATACATGCAGACACACACACAGAAACACATACATACACAGACACCCCCCACACAGACACCCACAGACACACACGCACAAATACAGACACACATACACAGACAGACACACAGAGACACACATATGCATACATGCAGATATAGACACACACACACACATACACAGACAAAGACACACAGAGACACAGACACACACAGACACAGACACAGACACACATACACAGACACAGACACACAGAGACACAGACACACACACAGACACACAGACACACAGAGACACACATAGACACAGACACACATAGACATAGACACACACACAGACACACATGTGCATACATGCAGACACACACACAGACACACATACATACACAGACATCCCCACACAGACACCCACAGACACACACGCACACATACAGACACACATACACAGACACACAGAGACATACATATGCATACATGCAGATATAGACACACACACAGACACACATACACAGACATAGACACACAGAGACACAGACACACACACAGATACACATACACAGACATAGACACACACACCCAGACACACATGTGCATACATGCAGACACACACAGACACACATACATACATAGACACACATGTGCATACATGCAGACACACACACACAGACACACATACATACACAGACACCCACACATACAGACACACATACACAGACATAGACACACAGAGACACAGACACACACACAGACACACATACACAGACATAGACACACAGAGACACAGACACACACACAGACACACATACACAGACATAGACACACAGAGACACAGACACACACACAGACACACATACACAGACATAGACACACAGAGACACAGACACACACACAGACACACAGAGACACACACAGACACAGACACACATACACAGACATAGACACACACACAGACACACATGTGCATACATGCAGACACACACAGACACACATATATACACAGACACCCACACACACAGACACCCACAGACACACACGCACACATACAGACACACATACACAGACAGACACACAGAGCCACACATATGCATACATGCAGATATAGACACACACACAGACACACATACACAGACATAGACACACAGAGACACAGACACACACACAGACACACACATACACAGACATAGACACACAGAGACACAGACACACACACAGACACACGTACACAGACATAGACACACACACAGACACACATATGCATACATGCAGACACACACACAGACACACATACATACACAGACACACACGATCAATTCTGGGTTTCCATGAGGCGATTCTGTGGTTTCTATCCTTGAGTTCTGGAGGAAGCACTCCCATCTATTATGTAAACGTCCTCTTCCACCCCACGATTCCTTTTCCCACACAAACTGCTGGCTAATTAGACCAGGGGAGCTGGAACAACCAGTCTCTCTCCCGGAAAACTGGAATTGAGGTGCAGAGATTCTGGGTTATTTCGGGGCAAGCACTGGAGGCCGAGTCTACTATTTTGGAGTAAGTGAGTAAGCCCAGGAGGTCGGTCAGCAGAGAGAGAAAAGTGAAACAGGGGCAGACAAAATAGACCACACGGTCTGCAGAGAGGGAGGGAGGGAGGGAGGGAGTACCAAGCACCTGCCAGCCCTTCCTAGAGTCATAAGCTTTTGTCTGTTCATCATCTTTCTTTTTCTTCTAGGAACAGATCCATATCTCCTTTGTGAAGTCACGTCTTCCCCACTGTTTTGGGGGACAGTCACTGGGCCCAGCCTCCCCTGACCCAGGCTGGGCAAACTAGATTATCTTTCCCAGAGCACAAACATTTGAATATTAAGCCTGGGCTCTAATGAGCCACTGGCAGGTGGGGGTGCCTTGAAAGGATCATCTACTCTTCTTTCTCCCTGGGACCTGAGAGCCACTGTGGTTTTTGTCCTTTCTTAGGTAGATTCCTTTGATACAGTGAGCTATTTCTTGCCTAGTCCAACTAAATTGGTGTCTGTTGCTTGCCACCAAAGAGCCCTGACTGAGTCAACAAAGTTCTGCTATGCACTGTCCTTTCTCATGGAAGCAAGCCACTCAGGCCTCAGCGTTCACGTCTGTAAAACTTTCCGAGAGCATCTTTCTCTTCCTGCCCTCTCTCCCCCACTCCCACGGTTGATGCAAAGATCAAATCAAATGAGCTGATGAATGTGGCGGCATCTATGTGCAAAGGATGATTAATACTCACTTTACTTTGTATTGTTAACACACAGTACATTCCCCAGGAAAAGAGCTGATGTTAGAAAAAAGAAAGTAAAAACCTATCACCCTGTCACAGATGGGTCTCTGGTGCTATCATAGCAAAAACCGGAATGGAATTTTAATGGTACCTGAAAGATGCAGCTAGGGTGAAGAAAAATGGCTAAAATTATATCACATTTCTATCTCTGGAGTGAAATTTAAAGAAACAGCCCTATATCAGTGAGCTGTCATTTGGACAGTATTCACAAAGAGTCGAAAAGATATTCTGGAGGTTTTGTACCAAAATATGTTGTATGTGGGGACACAGAGTTTTATTCTGTCTCCGATGAGGCCATGAAGAGTTTGGAGGCCCGAGGAGGGAGAGCTCTGACAGGAGGGGAGCAGGTTCACACACATGCACAGCACCCTCTTCTGTGCAGGGAACCCAGAGTTCCCTTCAGACAGGAGGAGGGGGTTCCAAGGGATGTGGTTCACTTTATTTCCAAAAGCAAACATCTCTGCTTTTTTTCTTTTTGGAAAATCAGACAGGAGGAGGGGGTTCCAAGGGATGTGGTTCACTTTATTTCCAAAAGCAAACATCTCCGCTTTTTTTCTTTTTGGAAAAGTAATAAATGCTTACCAGAAAAATCTAAACATCACAGATACATATGGTATTAGAAGCAAAATCCTCNTGCTTTTTTTCTTTTTGGAAAAAAATGCTTACCAGAAAAATCTAAACATCACAGATACATATGGTATTAGAAGCAAAATCCTCCCGCAATCTTGACTCTTCCCCCAAAGGGGAAAAAACACTGTTAAACTGTTTATTATTATTATTATTATTTTATTTATATTCCTGCAGATGTCCTTCAGTACATATAACTCTATCCCTCTATCATCCATCCATATATCTGCCATGTCTATCACGCTTGCCTGTGTTCTCTCTCTCTCTCTCTATCACTAACAGAATCATACTGCACACGGCTTTTCCAGCTTGCTTTTTTTTCACCTTATCATACATCTTGAACACATTCCCTTGTTACTACATATGGATTTGCTCTATTCTTTCTAAAAGTATATATTATTTCACTGTTTGGGCATACCACAATTTATGTAGTCATTCCCTTGTTGATAGGAGTTTGGTCTGTTTATCATTTCTACTGCTATAAACAATCCTGCAATGAATAAATATATATATATAAAAATCTGTGAACTCTTGAATACTTCCACTGGCTGATTTCCTAGAAATAGAATTATGAGTAAAAAAGATGAACATTTTTAACTTTAGTAGCTATTGTCCAATTGTTCTGTAATTAAAGCTTCCACCAAAAGAGATGAGAGAGCCTATTTTCTTATGCCCTCACCACTGGATACTATCACATTTTAAAAACTTTACCATTAGGTGAACAATGATATATCACTTAACTTCATGTAGTTATGGATGACACTGAGAATATTTTAGTATTTTATTGGCCATTTGCATTTATTATGTGAATTTCTTTTTTTTCTCTTCATCCCCCTCCTCTTTTCTCTTCTCCCCTTCTTTTTCCATATATAAGAACTTTGTATACTAGCAAAATCTGCTATAGTGGATTGAATTATGACCCCCAAAACTCCCTGAAGCTTGAGTTGTGTCCCTTAAGTTTTATGTATTAGGAACTTAGCCCTCATTGTGACTGTTAAGAGAGTGGGAAATCCTATTATGGTCATTGAAAGGTGGAGCCTTGAAGAGGTGATTGGATT